TGATTTGATTGTTGCTCCAACTTTTTTGATAATTGATATATTGAATACTTTGGGGCATTTCGGGTTATCTATGATTGATCTTGGGTGCGATTGGCTGATTGGGTTGGTAGCGACAAATTCTTAAAACCATGTATACCCTTTTTTTTCGTTTACAACCTTTTATTTAAGGCGAATTTGGCTTGTTGTTTATTGACCTGCTTAACCACTAGTAATTCATGGTCATGCCACTTACCCATTGTCAGCTCGTTTCCAGTGACAGTGACCTTACCAGGGCCTCCCAGTTGGTTGGGGTGGCCAACAGATAGTCAACCTTGCCAGGAGAGGAGTGTCCACAGCCACAGGCCACATTTTGTTGTCTATTTAAGCGACCACATGCAACCAGTTGCAGTTGTCCCCTGCTGGTTGGTGTTGCTGCCTCTCCTGTCTGGAATCTGCATCACCAGGGAACAGGTGGTGGCTGCAGGTTGCAACGGGCAAAGCCATTGACACCATGGCTTGTTAGCAGTGGCCATTGCTGTGAGCCGACACCTCCACCTGCTGGTGGTAGCTGACAACTCTGGTAGATTGGTGCCGCCAACCTCACGAGTGTTGTTGCTGATCAACTTGAGTGACCAGGGACCATATGTGACTAACCCTGTAAACTGGGAAACACTTTTTGTGTGTAGTGAAGATTTTTGAAGGAATTTATTTCCTGGACAGTGAATTTTTTATTTAAAAAAAGATCCAACAATATCAATAAGGTTTAGAACCTAGATTCTACATTTTGGGTGTTGGACCCATTGGCCCATGAATGGAAGGTCTAGTCTGTGCCGGCATACCAACGCACGACATTGGCATGCACCGCAGTGCAAGAGAGGAGGAAAGGGGGAAAGTAGGAGAAGATAAGGAGGTGGACAAGAAGAGGAAGGCAGGAAGCAGTGATGACGGAGGAGGAAGGAGATAGGAGTCCCAAACGGAGGTGGCTGTCTGTGCGACACGTACAGTGTGCAGGTGTTGGCGTATGGCATTTGGATTGTTTATCAATTGGAACATTGTGCTGATTTTCCAGTTGCTGATGGCGTGGTTTTAAAGTTCCACCACGAGACATGTGCATTGAACAACTTTGAGAGGGTATTGATGAAATTTTCAACTTTAGAAGGTTTCTATAAAATTAGGGGTTCTGTTGCTCTGCTACTAGCTTTTTATCATATTATTGGGTATTCTTATCTAAGAATTTAAACATTAGTTTGTTATTTGTTATGTCTATCTATCAGTATATTTGGTGGTATGCTGACCTGTACCATCTGGTATTATTTGAAAAAGGAAAAAGAAATACCAATTGGTACTGGTAATATCGCCTGGTACTGCTCCATACCAACTGTTATTTGAAACCATAATTATTATTATTATTATTATTTTTAGCATCAGTCAGTTTCCAAAATTCCTTACAGTGATCTGTATATGCCTGCTCTGTAAACCTCATGAACTTCTTTTCTGTAGGCTATGTATGAGGGCATCCTTGTGGACATACCATTTGCAACATTCTTCCTTAGCAAATTGAAAGAGAAGTAAGGTTTCAAAACCCTTATTTTACTAGTTCATCTTCTGTTTTCCTGGGGAAATTGTGGTTTTGCAAGAATGAGTTGAATTTTGTTTTACTCATAATTTGTTTTAGAAATTTCCTTCATTGTTGGGCATTTGAGGTATAATGCTATATTGTTGGTGTTCACCTGATGTAGTCTCCCATGTTATAGTACTGAAAATATACGATACATAAAGTAGAATCTTTCTTAACAATCTTATTCAAATATTACTCTCAAAATTGATTATGAAAATTATTTCAAGAAAAAGCTTATGAAAATCTGATGAAGTCGTATACTTTGTTTACTTTAGTTAGTGATATGATTGCTTATGATACTTGTGTTCACTTGGTGTTCACCTGATGTAGTCTCCCATGTTGGTTGTCTATTATTTTTTATCAAGATTTCTTGTATTTGATTATTACTTCGTATATGACTAATGCTAATCTCCTGGCAATTAGGAGCAACTTTTTGCATGACTTGCCTTCACTAGATCCAGAGTTGTATCGGCACCTTCTCTTTTTAAAGGTGAAGGTTTTACTATTGTTTCCTTTTACTTTTGTTAAGTATGTAACTATTACCTCTACGATACATCATATTTTAAATTCTGTTAAGTATGCAACTATTACCTCTAAGATTCATCATTTTAATAAATTGTGGTGTTCATATAATTAACGATGTTAAATTTTCATCTTTTGAACTGAGATCTGATCAAGGAAGGTTATGAAGAAAGTGAGAATATTGGTTACAAATAATTTCGGTGTGATGCCTTAGAAATCCAATATATTGTTGTCTAACTTCAATATATCTAGATGTCAACACAGATATGTTTTATCGAAGATCTGATATGTATACAATTTAAAGTTTCAAGTACTGGATGGATTGATTGGTCCTGTATGGGACCCATATAGCTTAGAACTGGTTGTTTCTACAGCCTTGCTGTTTTTGATATACCATCTATGTAATAGAATTCAAGGCATTTAAATTTATGAAAACATCTTAAAACATATTGAAACTCATTCATGAATCAGGTCCTGTTTGAGATGAGTTCATGTAGAACTTTTGGAAAGTTATGTGTGCTATATGTTATCTTCAGTTATATGGTCATGCTGCAAAAGGACTTTAGGCAAAGTATCCTAAATTGAAGCTATTTAGCTTGTTCCTTGCCAACACATAGCAGTTGTTAATTATATAGGCTTACTTTTTTGTACTTTAGTTTTTGCCGATGCTTCCCTCATGTTTGCAAATTTGGGGTTTATGTGTGCAGCATTATAAAGGTGATGTTTCAGAGTTGGAACTGTATTTTGTTGCTGTAAACAATGAATATGGTGATCAAACAGAAGAGGAGCTAATCCCTGGTGGAAAAGATCTGCGTGTTACCAAGGACAACGCTATTGCCTTCATTCATCTTGTTGCAAATTATCGCCTAAATTATCAGGTTCTACTCATTCCATTCCTCGGCTGATTTAGAGGATTTTGGTATGGAACTTTACCTTTTTAATGTGCAGATTCGCACTCAAAGCTTGCATTTTTTACGAGGATTCCAACAACTTGTACAAAAGGAATGGATTGAAATGTTCAATGAACATGAAATTCAGGTACATCATTAACCTAAAGCATTTTACAGTACATTATTGTTGCTACATTTTTGTTTGAATTATTTAATGTGGTTTGTTTTGAGTACAAGCATAGTTAAAATCTCTTGTTTGACAATCTACGTTGGTAAAATCAAGCTAGTGAATTCAATCAGAAGAGGAATCTTATACATTGACTTGGTGTTCTTTCAGCTTTTTATATCAGGGTCGCTTGAAAGCATGAATGTGGATGATCTGCGTTCAAATACCCAGTATACCGGTGGATATCATCATGTAAGATTTTAGTTGATCCAAGATGATATGATTTTTGATCGGAAAAAGAAAATTGCAATTACAGTACACTCTGATGCATTATCATAGACACACCTATAACATTCATGTTGGGTATCTTTGCAGGAACATCAAGTCATTGAGATGTTCTGGGAAGTACTCGAAAGCTTTTCTTTGGAGTATCAGAAGAAATTTCTCAAGTGAGTTTTCCCTTATATTGTGCAATTATATATATATATATATATATATATATATATATATATATATA